GTGTGTGTGTGTGTGTGTGTGTGTGTGTGTGTGTGTGTGTGTGTGTGAGAGAGAGAGAGAGAGAGAGAGAGACCCCCGAGTTTCTTCTCATCCCACAGTCAAGCCCACCCCACTGTGAGCCTTCTGTCACTGTGGCTTGATGAGCACTCTTTCTCCTGGGCTGCTTCTTGGGTTTCTCCTTTTGTTCTGTGCTGTTACCTCAGTAACCTGGAGGACCTATGCACAGTCTTATTGGTATGCTGATGGAACCAAATGTATCTTTGAGATAACTGCAGGAGGCAGAGGTACATGGATCTCTGTGAGGTCATCATCAGCTTGATCTACCTACCCAGCTGCAGGCCAGCCAGAGCTACATAGTGAGACCCTGTCTCAGTGGCAACTCAGTCTCTAGGATGGCAGGGGCTTCCTGATCTGAGTCACATGCCTAGAGCTTGAGACCCACCGACATTTGTCTCTTATTCCTTGCTTTTCCCTCTGAGTTTATAATAGTACTCTGGATATGTAATGGAAAATAAGTAAGTACAATTAAAGACTGTAAGATACTGACAGAGCTGGGGATGCAGCTCAGAGGTAGAGCAGTGTGCACGAAGCTCTGGCTTTGATCCTGTCAGAGAGACAGACTGAGACTATTTGGTTGCTTAAAATGTAGCCAGTAGGGTTTTCTGTTTCCTGTCTGCCGCAGCATTTCTGTGCCAGGCCCAGCTATGAGCTGACCTAGACCTACCTTGTGCAGCGACATAATTGGTTAACTCTGTTCAGAGCTAGGGACTGGATTAGAGAGAGTTAACAGGGAGCTTGGTTAGGTAAGCAGATAACCAAGAGTCTGGGTAAGACCTAAGTCCTCCTTCAAGTGTGACTATGCAAGCTTTCTTAGCCCAACCCCCCAGCTCACCCCACGCCACCCCGTACTTCTCATGAATTTTGAGTGGAGTAGCAGCAGGTCTGTCTTGGCGAACTGCCCTCCTCTATTTACAGGGTCCGTGTCCATGACTTCTTCATCCCACTTTTATTTTCATCTGTTTGTCCAGGAAATACCCAATACTTTATGGTTCAGTGTGAAGGAACTGAACAAAAGGGAAACCTGGATTCTCATCTCTGTTTCACTCTTGGTGTGGACCCCAGCCATGCCTTAGCCCAGCTTCTGTGTTATAAAGGGCCATGGTATTAGACAGGCAGTCTCATGTAGCACTTCTCATATGTGGCCATCCCTTCCTTAGCTGTCTGTACAGTTGTCACACTGCATCATGTGCTGATTAGCGTTTTTATTCCTTTTCTTCTTTTAAGGTCATATCTCAGCAAGTGTCAGATAAACACCTAGAAGAAGGCCGGCTCTATCCCCCTCTCAGTACCATTCGGGATGTTTCGTTGAAAATTGCAGTAAAGGTAAAGTGACGCAGCCTCATTATTCTTCCTTCTCTTGCTAAGTGTGTGTCTTTACTATTTTACGTGCTTGCTTGGCATATACATTCATTTTCTACGACTCAGGGAGACAAGGCATGGCAATGGGGTGCTGAGGACTGCCTTTTATTCCCCAGGGACGGTGGACACATGGGAATGAGTTGTAGATTTCCCTGTCCATTTTTTTTTCCTACGACTTACATTTCAGTTCTTTTAGTCAGGCTTCTCCCAATTCACCTTATTGTGGTTGTTTATATAGTTATTTCTGTAGCTCCCATAGACTAACTAGAGTGACATTTGTGCCTGGAACCTCTGCCACATCCCTTTCTATGACATAGAGCATCTTAAGAGACAGGGTGGTAGCCATAGTGAAAGGGGGACTTTGGGCCCCTTGGGGAAGTTCTTAGTCCTATGGAGAAAAGAATTCAATCTCTGAATCAAAAGGGAACTCCGGGAAATTCCTTGGGGGTTGAGGAGAAGACGGTTGGGTGGGCAAGCTGAGGCTCTCAATGGCCGCTGGAAAACAAGAGAAAGGAAACCATGCCTTCTGAGCTAGGGGTCCAGAAAGCATAGCATTCAGCATTGGTGAAGAGTTGAATGGTGTGTGTATTGGAGGGGAACTCAGAGAGAGAGAGAGAGAGAGAGAGAGAGAGAGAGAGAGAAGGAGAGAGAAAGGGAGCCCAGAGCAGTGGGTCTCAACCTTCCTAATGCTGCGACCCTTTAATACAGTCCCTCATGTCGTGGTGACCCCAACCATAACATTATTTATGTTGCTACTTCATAATTGTAATGTTCAAGAGATGCAGTGTCTCAGTTCTTAAGACCATTGGAAATACGTGTTTTCCCATGGTTGCGACCCACAGATTGAGAATCACTTGCCCCGAGCGTCAGGACAAATTTAAAAGGAGACAGAAAAAAGGAAAAGGAATGGTTTCACTTTCTCAGTCAAAACGTAGAGAGGGGCAGCTGAGCTAGGATCCTAGTAGCTGCAGCGAGGGAGGGAGGGGCTGCTCAGTAAGTGCTGGCTCGCTCAGGGAGTTTTGGCCTCACATCTTCGGCCCTGCCCTGGGCTTCTTCAGCTGGGTCGTGTTTCTGCTCACACTCTGGCTTCATGCTGCTCTTTGTTCTTTTAAGAGTTATTTTTATTGTTACTTTTTAAATTGGGAACTTGTATGTGTTCACTTCAGTGCTGGTGCCCATGGGCATCAGATCTGGATTTGCCAGTGCTCATGAGCCGCCTGACACTGGTTCTAGGAACTGAACTCAGAGCCTCTGGAAGAGCTGTGCTTTCTCTTAACTGCTGAGCCATCTAGCTAGCCTGAGGCTAGCTAGTTTTCTTGAGCTTATAAATGGGGTTCATAGCTATAGATACATATTTACATAGAAACAAGAGGCATCTTAGTTAGGGTCACTATTGCTGTGATGAAACACCATGACCAAAAACAAATTGAGGACGCAAAAGTTTATTTGGTTTACATATTCCAAATCACAGTCTTTGAGGGAGGCTAAGGCAGGAACTAAATGGAAGCAGGAACTGATGCAGAGGTCATTGAGGGGTGATGCTTACTGGTGCTCCTCATGGCTTGCTTAGTCTGTTACAGAACCCAGGACCACCAGCCCAGGGATGATACCACCCACAATGGCCTGGGCCCTTCCCCACCAATCACTACTTAAGAAAATACCCTCCAGGCTTCCCTACAGCTGGATCTTATGGAGGCATTTTCTCAATTGAGGGTCTCAGATGGCTCTAGTTGGTATCAGCTTGACCTAAAACTAGCCAGCATAGGAGGCCTTGGTCTTGTCTGCGGTCTTGATCAAAAAGATGTTCTCATTAACTGGCTAGGCCATTAATAAAGAGGGTTGTTAGAGCATTAACTATGGTGAATTAGTCACTTTTCTTTTGCTGTGACTAAACACCAAGGCACCTTATAAAAGAAAGTGTTTAAATGGGCTTATGGTTTTAGAGAGTTCGAGTTCACGGTGACAGGGACATTTGAGCTCATGTTGATTCACAAGCAGGATTCGGAGAGGTGCTGGGAATGGCTTCTGAAGGCTCATAGCCTGCCTCAGCGACACATAGCCTCCAACAGTACCATATTTCTTAACCCACCCCAAACAGTCCTGCCAACTTGGAAACAAGTATTTAAACATCTGAGTAGCCTGTGAAGGCCATTTTCATCAAACTACTGCAGATGGTATTTAAAATTCTGAGGAGAGTGTGTTTCCCTCTTCCTTACCAGGGACATGGGAGGTAAGGCTTAATCAGGAAGGTGGGGTCCATCTTCAGTAACCTTCAAGCCTGCTTCTGTCTTAGCTGCCTAACATAGGAACACCAGGGAGGACAAAGAGTACAAAAGCAGCTCTGGGCATAGGTGAGCAACAAGAGGACTTAGCCAGGAACCTAAATGCAGAGAAATTTTCTGTAACACAGCTGAGTGGGCTGGGCTTTAACAATGTTGTTGTATTCGTTTGCCACAGTTGCCACAACCAAGTACCACGTTCTAGGTGGCTTAAACTAAACAGAATTTTTTTTTTTTAGAATTTTGTGGAGACTGCACACCCAAGGTTAAGATGTCAGTAAGTTAGGCTTCCCAGGTCTGTGTCCTTGGCTTGGGGCCTGCTTTTGCTGTGTCCTTGAGAGTCTCTTCCATATATGTGCTCATCCTTAGTGTTTCATTGTCTAGTTTTCTCTTTCTTTTTAGAACAGAAGTGAAATAGACTAGAGTGATCCCAAAAGCTTTATTTTAACTTCTGAAGCGTTTTAACTACTGGTGAGGCCACCAGCATATAAGCGCATCTGTGGGGGAACACAAAATTTACCCCAGCAGTTCTGTTTAAACTGGTTGCTCAGGGTCTCTGCTCATAGGCGGTTTGTGTTTGCGCAGTGCAGTGTGCTCTTGGCACTTGCAGCCTCTGGCCACTAGGAGTCAGCAGCACTTATACAGTTTCAACAGTCAAAAGGTAGCCAGACATTGTGAGGTCTTCTCGCAGACCAAACTTGCTGGTTTAGAGTTTACACTACTCCAAGTTTATATAAATGGCACCATTTAAGGGTCACATGTTCCCGTTTATCTTGTTGATTGAAGGGATAGTCTTCAAAATCCACACTTCAAAAAACTTCAACTAACCGTTTGCATGTCTGCTACTGAAAGCATCCTCGTATTTTGTCCCAATCTATACCTACCAGTTTTTAGTTTTCATTATTTATGTACTGAACAGCATGTTATCATTTTAAGTTTATTTACAATTTAAATTAAAATGAATCAGCATATGATTAGAAGAGAAGGAAAGCAAGGGGCAGCAGAGGAAATAAAGACACTGTGGATGCATACCAGAATATGTAGTTGCCCACACAGAAACAGAATTTCAGGAAGGAAGCTGCAATAAGGGCTGCAGGTCTGAGGACCTGGATGTGTCCGGATGTCCTACTCTGTCACAAAGATGGAGCTGACGAAAACTTAAAAGAGTGACTAGGTAGAAAGCCATGTGGTGATGGTGGAGCAGGAGGCTCCGTTCACAGTCAGATCTCTACTGCTTAACTTTCCCTGGTGTTACTGTTTCTCCCTTGCCACATGTGACTTATAGCTGCATTTTCATTTTCCAGTCTCATTTTCATTTTCCAGTTTATGTATGTGGCTTTTACTCCAGTACAAATTATAAACTAATTTTAAAGATGGATAAAAATTTGACTTCATTATGAAAATAATGACTTCCCTTCCTTATTTTTAGATTGTGACAGATGCATACAGAGAAAAGATGGCCAGTGCTTATCCTGAACCCCAAAACAAAGAAGAATTTGTCTGCTCTCAGATGTACAGCACTAACTATGACCAGATCCTACCTGACTGTTATTCATGGCCTGAAGAATTCCAGAAAATACAGACCAAAGTCAATCAGTAACACAACAGCTAGAATTTCTAACTTTATTAATAAGATCTTGAAGTTTTCATAATTTTTAAGGGTTGAATCTTTTATGATGATTCATAGTGTGCTTAGAATAAGGTGATTTTAGTTTAATAATCAAACTTGTGGGAGTCTATTAATACAAAGTAGGATAAGCTTCACACTGGACAATTTTGTTTCACTTACTCTGGTTACTTGTGTGTTCTCTTTGAATTATTCTCTTTACAAATTCTGTTAAAATTCTGTTTTAATTGGACCTGCTGCTGAGAAACTCATCACTGATATGTAGGAAGCTAATGGAAGACCCAAACTAGTAATAAATTATATAGCTTAACTTGATTATAGTAAATGCCTACATTTCTTTCTTGACCGTTTTATTAAAAATCTCTTAAAAAGTAAAGAGAAAGACAAACTTAGCATAACTGAACTTTTACTGAACAGAAACACACTTCTTTGCCTAGAGAAAAATCTCAGGACTTTTATTTCAGGTCTCTGTTAGCTTTGTTTTTGGTTTGTTTGTTTTTCTTTTTGTGTGTGTGTGTGTGTGCAGCTGAACTCTTAACACCTCTAAGGAAGCTCACTATTGTTTACAGACCTTATGCAGCCTTAGATTATAATAGTATTTTGTCATTGCTACATCCCATAGAGTAAAGCTCTCATTGCCTTGGTTTTGAATCCCAACTCCTCCTGAGAAGCTTCTTTCCTCATCTCTGACCAAATGCCTTCCCCAGCTCCTGGCTCTGCTAAGAACCTGGGATGTTTCTATTAGCCTGGCCAGGGAGAAAGGCTGCAAGAAGAGTCTTGGAGAAGGGGCTCCCTGAGGACCCTACCTCCAAGAGAAGGTGTCAGAAGGAAGACCATGGTGTCCAGACAAGCTGGGGTCCATGGGGGTCACCTGCCCTAATGTATTGTCCCTGTAGTTAGCTCAGGTGACTCAGAGCTCACAGCGTGAGTAACCATATCTCTGACGCCTACCCATTCCATCAGACAATAAAACATGTTGATTACCAAACCATTCTATGAGAAGAAATACCACTTTCCCAGGTTGTATTAATTAACTGGACAAGTTGATGATGGAATGAATACAAATAACCTCAAATTCCTAAGCTCAGGTTCAAGCACATTCTTGTGTATCTGGAGACATTCTGATTCTGAAGTAATGCTTTAAAACGTACTGTATTTGTGATGGGCGACTCTATAAAGTGACCTTCCTGAAGGTGACTATCACAGATTCTTTCAAGTGTGCATGAAAAGAGGACTGACTTTCTAATGGCAACTTGTGGTTGAAGGCTTCCTCAGTTATTTGGGAAAGATTCAGAATTTCTGTCAATTCTTGTTTGTTTCAGTGCTGTCAAATAGGTATAACTGAATGTATTTACCTATGCAAAAGATTTATTAAAGCATAGAGAACATGAACATTGTAAATAATTTTCATTTTTCTTAAGATATCCCTGCACCTTATATAAATACACTTTATAATAATGAGTCTTAGGAGATCATATGAAAAGTTATAAAAATTTTTAAAGAAGATTTATTTTTTAATTTTATGTATGTGCGTGTGTGTCTGCATGTGCTATTTTGTCTTGGGTGTTTCCAGTGCCCACAAAGGCCAGAAGAGGGGTGAATCTCCTGGAGCTAGAGTTAGAGGTGTTTGTGAACCCCCTGATGTGGGTGCTGGGAACTGAACTGGAATCCCCTGGAAGATCAGCAAGAGCTTTTCATCTGTGATCTGCTTCTACAACTCCCCGGTTTTGCGAAGTTTTCATTCCAGTCATTGCTTATTCCAGTTGGCCCTCATGTATGTGATGTGAGCGTATGTGTTGGGCCCTGTGAGGGACACTTACCTGCTCTTAGGGGGAGCAGGTGCGAGGTGGTTGTTCCCTACATGTCAGGCAATGCAGTACATTACTCGATCCACGGTGTCCTGGGGGATTTCCTCATGAGGCCGACATTTTCAGTCATTTGTCAGGCCCACAGAGTCATAAACAAAGGTGGTAGTTTCTAAGACACATTTGCCTGTCTTCTTGTTCTCTCCTTTCACTAGTTTACTGCAGTCTAGCCAGTACTGTCCCGAGTGCATTCTTAAGTATCCCAGTAGCTTCATTGAAAAGGTGGAATTCATGTTAATAACATATTGAACCAAACTTTATCTAAAATAGTACTTCAGAGTATAACTAATATAAAAATTACGGAAGTGTTTTGTCGGGTTGATACCAAATCTTTCAAAGGCAGTTGCTGGCATACTTTTAAAAACTATTTTATTTACATTTCTTATACCTCTTCCTCCCTTTTTCCATCCAAGTCCCTTCTAAAACCCCAAACTGGGTAGGAGAGAATGAAGGTTAGTGGGTAGAGGGGCTGTGGTTTTCCTTAGCTACTTCCTGCTGCTTAGGGTCATTGGGTTCCTTGGGGCAAGTCCAACCTTATTTCAGGATATGTCCAACTTCTCCTCCAACTGCCTCAACAGCAACCCAATAGCTCAACAGCTTTTCACTCGGGCACCTCCTGCCTGCTGCTTCAGCCACCCCAGTGCTGGGATTACCAGTGCGGGCCATCACACCCAGCATGAGATAATAACCATTTTGGGGGGTTCCTTAATACAGACTCATTTCACCCAAAAACAATCCATACCTTCAGGACAGTCCTCTGTGCTCATTGCTGGCTCACACTATAAAACATACTGCTAGCCTATGTTTAATGCTCTCAGGAGAGAGGGCCATTTTTTTTTTTTTAATGTACATTGGTGTTTTGCCTGCATGTATATCTGTATGAGGGTGTTGGATCTCCTGGAACAGGGGAGTTATAGACAGTTGTGTGCTGCCAAGTGGGTGCTGGGAATTGAATCCAGGACCTCTGGGAGAGCAGACAGTGCTCTTAATCACTGAGGTCATTTCATTTCTTTAGTGCTAACATCTTTATCTTGTGCCTCCCAAAGTCATCAAAAGGACAAGAAAACATGGAGCATTAACAGGGGGAAGGCAGTGTTTGGGGTATGTCTTCTCCCTGTGTCCTGTTGGCTATCACTCATGGAGAAACATGTCATGGGAGAAACATGCTGTCTCTTTCTCTCTCTCTCTCTTTTTTTGGCCCAGGACTGCAAGCAGAAATAGCTAAGATGTATATGTAGCATTGAGTCTGCTACAAACACAGTCTTTGTTTGAAGTTCATAAGGAAGTGTGTAAGTGCATTCTAATATATGTGGGAAACAGAAAAAGACCACACCAGGCACACACAAGATAAACCCTGCTTTTAAGCAGTGCCCAGGCTACCTTAAGCTGTAGCCCAACCCTGACCCAGTGTAAATCCTCTTAAAATTCATAGCCTCCCACCCCAACTCCATACAAAATGGTATGAAGTACTCATGTTTAGAAGAAAAAAAAATTCTCTATTCTTTTTGAAAAAAGAATGTTCAGTGTACAATTAAAAAGAAAAATTATACAGAGAAAAGCATAAAGCTGTGATCCTTAACAAGAAGGGAAAAACTACTTGACATAGATTGCCAGGTCTGTTCTGCCTTGAATTGTCACACAAGGCTTCAAAAGTAATAATTAAAAATAATGCGATTAAGATTTAGGAGAAAGACAAAAATAGATTTTATCATAAACATAGAGTATAAAGAATTAAGTGACTCAAGCTAGACAAAACTCCCAGAATGAATGGAGGAGGTCCTTGGAACTGAGGAGTTACTGGTCTTTGATGGCTACTGGGAGAGGGAGAGTCAGTTTTCTTTAATGGTGTGATCCCCTGGTAGGTCAGCTACTTTCCAGAGCAGGATCCACACCCAAGAGTACTTGTTGTTGAGTATTTAATAATTCTAGAGGGTTTTTCTATGACCCAGCTAACTCCCAAATAATTGAGACAGAGACCTATTGATTTATTTAAACAAGATTTAACCACAGTAACTGGGCAGGTATGTTTAAAACTAATTTTCTAAGCTAGTCTGTCGACCTCCTAGCCACACTCCCCAAGTTATCTTCGGCCTGTCTGGGCTAGATCTGCTTCCTCAGGTCATTTCCTCTCTCCATTGTTTTCCTTTCTTCTTCTCCCCTCCCTCTCCTTCCCTTCCTTATTCTCCTGACCTCATGATCCCTCCCTCAGTTCCAAGCCTAGGAACTGAAGCTCCGCCCACTTCTCTGCCTAGTTGCAGGCTGTCCAGCCTCTTTTATTTAACCAGAGAATATTGGGATGCAAAATTCACAGAACATCATCCGCTGTGTGTGAGAATTCATCCAGAGCTGGAAACCCAGAATTTAGCGTTTGGGTACGTAGCACCGGACCAACCCTGAACAAGTATTTGGGCAATATAAATTGAACCTAATAGGTTTAGGGGGGAAGGGAAAAACAAGGTGGATGCCTAGGGAGGTAGTTGTGGATCAAGAAGGAGTTGTAGGAGGAAGGTGAATGTGAAAAAAACAATGTGAAATTCTTAGAAAAGTAATAAAAGAATTAGATCTCAAAAATAAAATATGTGGAACTAAGGATTAATTGGAGTCTTCATGTCAATTATAGAAAAAAAGATCCATAACTTCAAAGGCTGGTCATTAGAAATTACTCGAATGAGAGCTGGGGTTGTAATTCAGCGAGAGTGCTAGTCTAGCACACACAAGGCCCTGAGTGCACTCCCCAGCTGGTACTGCAAGACACATATACACACCAAAACAAAAATGACTTATGGAGTTAGTTATTAATACAAGCTGGCCCAATGCAATGAGAATAGTTGGGTCTATAGGAATTTTTGCAGGGCGTGGAAAACTAAATTGGTATTTGAAAATGAACAACCAGACAGCATGGCCACTCACTAAGAAGAAGGCTGCTTCTGGAGTACTTATCAGCTGACCACAGCCCAGCATAGGACCATAAATATGAGAAACCCACATAGACATGGACAGCAGCAGAGTTTTCAACAGGAGCCAACAGCACCACTGAAGTGTCATACAGAGCTAGAAAAGTCTCTTGTTAGTCTACTTTAATCACCGTGAGAGAAATTTGAAGCAAATCCGTTTAAAGGAAAAATACTTAGCTCACAGGAGAACTTACAGGAGAGCTGCCAGGGCCAACGCTGAGAGAAAATGCTGACTGCAAGAACACGTGCCAGAGGAGGCTGCTCACTCGATGTCCGGAAGCAGACAGGAAAGATCTGAGGGCAAGGTACGTTCTTCAAGGCATCATGTCCCAGTCACCTCAGCACAGCTGAGTTCAAGCTAGCCTGAGCCACATGAGGTCCTGCCTCAAAAAACAGTCACGAGAATTGAATGGTGCTCACTCACTCTTTAACCCAGCACTCGGAGGCAGAGGCAGGTAGATCTCTGAGTTTGAGGCCATTCTGGTCTACAGAGTGA